AGGAGAACGACTCGGGTCCTCAGCCAAAGCCTTCGATTAAAGGTACACCAGAAAGGCAACGAGTCTAGCACATGGTCAGTTCACTAACATACGGATTGGTGTCCTGGATCTTAGCGGGGAGAAGGGCGCAACTTCAACTCCTACCCAGCGGTCTCCACGAGGAGGCGTCCAGGACATGAGCCCATGGCACGATAGTAGCAGCAGTGGGTAGACCATCTGTTAGGGTCTAGCGACCACCAGCCTCAGCGTATCATAGGCTCTTCCGCCCATATATATATATATATATATATATATATATATATATATATATATATGCTGTGCCCCATGCTGTGGTTGATGTTGCACACACGGTGCTTCTTCACCACAGTTGGGCTAAACCGACTTGCACTTAAACCAGGCCCTTTTAATCTGGATGAAGGTCATTTCACTTTGTTTTGTTCAATTCTGTTATTCGGCTGTATATTCTGCGTCAGTTTTGCGTTTTTTCCTCAAATTCTCTGTTGTTTGATCTCAATGTTGCGGCTGCGCTTGTTGTGCATGTTGACAAGGTACCTACCTGTCTGACACCCTCCAACACAATTACTGACTCCAGAAGACTGGATCATTGCTGGGTGCACGGTCTTCGTGGTCGTGCTAGGCTCAGAGTGGTTCCATCTGCTGTGGAGCGGAATACGGCCCAGCCACCGTTTTGTGTACGTCTGGTACGTATGATTCCCTACATAGATAGACATGAATGCTGCTGCTGTGCATGTCGTAGGAGTGTGTGCCAGCTCCGTTGATGTAATGTGGCCCCAACCCACATACCTTCCGGTCTTGTTTCTTCGGGTTTACACTGGATATGGGGTGTGTGGGTGGTGCAGCACTAGCCACACATGGTCCCTCTGTAGGCGCAGGCTTCCTGTGGCTGTCTCCCTGGAGGCCGCAGTGACAAGCAAATCCGGAACCGAATGCCACCATCCATACATAAATGCTCAGCCCACGCTTGACTGGTGGTGGTCGCGCGGCAGCGAAGCGCCGTTACGACGTACAGCTGACACATATTTTCTAATCGTTCTTCTGTCTAGGCCTGGACAATCTGATATCCTCCTGCCCATGCAATACAACTTAATAACTTTCCCTTTAAACAATCCCTTGATGCTCTGGCCGTCGCAGCGGATATTAAACCGTGCCCTGTTTGCTGCAACGAGCAGTCTGGATAGGGTTTGGATGCTACTGCTCGAGGCTTCCCGTCTTCTTATTCCCCTTCTCGCGCTTTTTCATCTTTATCGTTCCGTTCCAACTCCACTTTTTCCTTTGTTTTCAATCTTCCAATTCTTGGCCCTCCCGACTTGATTCAATTGTCACTTGTCTTCTAGTTTCAAATCCCACGTAATCGCTGGTTACTGCTCTACTTCAGTCTGAAAATCCATGTCTAACCAAGCGGAAAACGTCAGTTCGTCCATGTCTCTGGATTCCTCGATCTGTAGGGACCTGGAGAGCCCCCTGTCCATCTGGATACGATGCGTAAAATATTAGAAATATGTAGTATGCTTACCTGTTCAAACGATGACTTCATGTGTTTCAGTTAACTTCGACGGATCGCACTTCACGCGCTTCCGACTTCCCGCCTTGAAGAGTGCTAGCGAGGTCTGTGTTGGCTACCATACCTCCCCATAGCTAGAACGTTTTACGGTGCCTTTAGCTAGTGCGATTGTGCGTTTTGACAATAAATGTCTATTTCGCCTGTTTATTCGTTTTCTTCCGACTTTTCCTTAATGCGGAACGAATCTGAGCTTACAGCGACCGAGTGATTCCGCTATAGATCCTGGCTAAGATTGGCATGTCTCCATGTGGGCTGAGTAAGTGCCCCTCTGAACACCGTCGATGACCACTGCTTTCATATTTGTCAGACATTACCATCAACAGACATGTCTTCATTTGGAAAATCGCATTGCTGACCTGGACGTTGGGTCTCCACAGTCTCTGGAACATCTGTATGCTCGCCCTCGTATTCCGTCTGGTGGCGAACATAATGAAACTTGCAAAAATCTCAGGGCAAAACTGCTTGCTAGCCTAAAGAGAGACCGTGTAGTCTGCTGGTCTCCTCCTGCATCGAAAATGGAAACAGCCGCTTACGTCTGTAAGCATTGTAAGTCATTTCGTCTGATACGGAGACCTGGTATTAGCATGACCATACGCAACGAAAGTGGTCAACGGATCCACAGCTTGTCAAAACGCTTGGAGCGTTGGGTCCAGCACTTTGAGAAGCAGTTCAATCAGTTAGATTTGTCGGCTCCTCCATCAGCTATTGTTTGCCTTACTCCCTGCGACTTTCCCGTGGATCCGCCCTCATGCATTGAAATCGAACGTGAGCTCAGACTGTTGAAATTGAATAAGGCCGCAGTGCCAGATAGAATTCCTCCACCCCTCTTCAAATTTGGCCTACGTGCTCTTGTAGGTGATTTGCACGTTACTACTGAAATTATGGAAGCAGGAAACTGTCCCAACAGACTGAAGCCGCTCCGATCTCGTCCCGATTTTCAATGAAGGCTCCCGTTCGGAATGCGGCAATCATAGAGGGATCAGTCTGGCCTCAGTTGCGTATAAATTGTTTGCGTCTGTCGTTCTCCACAGACTGATTGCCACTCGTGAAAGTCAGATTCGTGAGGAGCAAGCCGGGTTTAGTCGAATTCGAGACTACACCGACCACATCTTTACTTTAAGTCAATTGTTGGAGCATCGCCATGTTTATTTGTGACCCACCGTTTTCAAGTCTCGATATCAATGATACCTTCAACTCCGTTGATCGATTGGGACTGTCTGCTTAGGAAAGGTGCGCCCGCAAAATACGTGAACATTATCAGAGCGCTGTGCGCACAGTCTTCGGACAGAGTAAGGACTTACGGCAAGCTGTCGCCACCCTTCAATATCTCCAGCGGTATGAGACAAGGTCGCCCGCTGTCACCTTTCTTTTTCAACTTCGATATTGACGAAGTCCTGAAGACAACGTTCGCTGGACACGATTGAGTAGATGCGGAGCTGCTTCCTGTTGCGCGACTCCTTGACTTAGAATATGCTCACTACAGTGCCCTCATATGTGACAGCACAAAAACCTGTTAAGCTGCGATGGACAGATTAACACAGACTGTCAATTGTTTTGGGCTATGCTTTGCTCTCTCGAAATGCAAAACTCCCCCAAGTTTGGCAGGGACCTACCCCTACGCTGATCCTCGGTGGTGATCAGCTAGAAGTCGTTCATGGATTCAAGTGCCTGTGGGATTGTAGATGAGGTTACGAACCTTATAGCAGAAGCTTGAGGTGATTTTGCAAATCTCTGCCATCTGTGGTACCGACGCGACATCACTCTCGCTCTGAAGAGCAGAGTTAACAATGCAGCCATCCGTTCAACCCTTCTTTACGATTGTCAGACCTGGCTCATTAGGTCGATAGACATAAAGGGGCTAGTTACGTTCGACCATCGCTGCCTTCGCAGCTTAGCTCATGGCTGATGGTAACACCGCGTGAACATTGAATGTGTTCGGCGTCGCGTAGTTTGTGTAAGAAGAGCGAGTGAACCGCTCAGCACCATTATATCACGAACCTGGCTTCGATGGCTGGGTCACGTGTTGTGCATGCCAGCCCACCGACTCCCGCGACTTGATTTGTTTGCGCACCCAGAGTCTGAAGAGGAGGGGAGGCTAAGTACTGACTATTCAAGTGGAATGAAAACCCACACTTCGGAATTGGCGTTGGTTCATGCATCCGGACTGCCTGGCCGGGATCCGGAAGACCATAAACACCTTTGGTTGGACACACTTGCTGAAATGGCTAGGAGCCAGCCCCAACGGCATTTGTGCTATGGGTTTCTTTGTCCATCCCCCTCACCTTCAGATTTCCCATGCAGTCACCATCCCATAGCAAGTTAATAGTACAATATTTAGCATTATATTACCTGATTTTTGTATTTCTTGTAGTGTTGTTTTTAGTATCTTTTCCTTTCTGAGGCGTGTTTCTCATTCTCATCTGATGTGTTTTGATGATGAAATCATCCTGGTGATAACAAGTCGCGCAGTGATACGGGAATCAAATTTTTAGCATGCTTGTGCTTAAGATCCACTAGCCTAGCTCTCACATTTCCACGCAGCAAGGCCGGTCTTGACACTCTCAACTGATTCGGCAACGACCTATGTTGATTTACGGTTGTACGATAGTTCACACGAGGGGTGTTGTGGCGGTGTATACTAGGAAACAAACTTACTCTACAGTTTTAGCATTGTCGTTTCTCACTAGCTTATTATGATGGTTTTGCATCTAAACAAAAGAGGAATTAATTTGCGGATGACAACTATTCCGCTCCATCTGTCCAATGCCGTGATGGTTTCTCGGCATCGTCTTGTTTACAGCGGCGTCATCAAATGGACTTAAGCACCTACCGAATACAGCGACTAGTTGGCTCGACCAATTAACCACCATTGTTGTTTTCATGTCGTTACATGCAAAAACAAACAGGAATTGAGAGTATACATAAAAATGGCGAACACGGATTTTCTTTCTCTAAGGATAAAGAGCGCTTTAAGTTTGTAATTAATCTTTCCAAAGAATGTACCACTCTAATAAGTGTTCCAGTGATTCGCAAGAATGACTCTCATCTCGGTGCATACAATGCAGCAACAGCCAGATCAACTGAGCAAATCCGCTGGAACAGTCTAGTGACTACTGAGTGACAGGATGACCTACGGTTCCTGGAGTGTTTGAGCGTGAGACTGCTATGAACAACATGTGGCTGATAAGGCATCGGCACCCACGTTCACTTTTCCGCCTTGAGGGGGCATCTCATAAGTTAAGCACAACTTCTGCATTTTGACCATCAGTGATCGAATTTTTGCCGGTAGCTATTTACTTCTCTCTATCTCTGTCACCTCATAACACCCTTTTCGACTTTTTCAGTTGGTCGTATCACTCTGTTTCTACTTTCCCTTGAGGCGTGGGCACACTGTGCCTTTGTCATTTTAAGGAACAGCATGGCACTTGTAAATTATGAGAGTTCCGGAGGTGAATCGACTGGTACGTTTTACTGTTCTCCCACTCATTTGTCCTTAGATTCTGAACCCGAATTGCGCTCTACCAATACCGTTTCGGACTCTAGATTCGTTTCCACAGCAACGGATAAAGTTGAACCAGAGTATAAAATGCGTATGCCTATGAGTGCAAAACAGCCCAGCTTGCTTCCCAGCTTCACTTCTTTGAAGTTGAAGACTGGGAAAGTGTTGGTTTCCGTTCCCGTTTTGGAGGGCGTAGGTTTGTTATTTATTTCCATTGGGACTACTTTCGTTTATTTTCTATTCCAGCTTGATTCATCTTCCAGCGAAAGTGATGCTGACTCCTCGAAGGCGAGCGGTCCTACACGTACACAGGTGTGTAAAACTATTTCCGCCTACTTCTCACAAGGAACTTAATGTGGATGTTTGCTTATATCGTGAAAACCTGATCTTCATATATAGGCTGGTGGCATTAAAAATTAGCCTACCGTTACTACCTGTACGGCGCCATCCACGTGACACACGTAGCTGTAAGCTATGTTGACGATTTTATTCCGGTGCTTGTAATTTGTTATCCCTGTCTTTCAGTATATCCGAAGGTGTTATATGAACATGGTAAATACATTTGTCTTGTTATCCTTGCCTCCATCCTTCGTTGATTATCACTGAAAAGGATGACAGCGGCAACCTCTGGTTTGCATTCCGTAAACTGTTGTCCACCGGACTGTAGGTGTACGGAAAACTCTGTTGACCTCGTATTTATGATATCATTATTACTTGGTGAGCTTAATTTTTGCTTTTTCACATGCGACGCAGTTTCTGCCCACTGACAACACTGAAAGATGCCAGAAAAATTGCTTTCTCCGGATGGGATTTATCTTCCTTGAGTGCGCTACTACATAAGATTGACGCAGTGTGTGACGCCTCAGTGTGACACCTCACTTTATTCCCAGATGCTAATTTTGAAGGACCGGGTTGCCTGGCCAAAAGTCTTCCTAGTTAGCTATGCACCGTTGCGTGTTCCCATTGCGCATCAATGCAAGATTGTCGATCTGTCTAGAGCACCAACTTTCGTTCCTATTCTGCATTAGCCACCTTTGCATCCTGGTCACTCTTCTAGCCCCGGTGAGGTGCCGGAATTCTGAGGCTATTTATTAATCAACTTAACTCAAAATTTGCATTATCGATCCCAGCTGTGTCATCAATAGTTAGTTGAGTATATTGCCTTCAATGATTCATGATAGACAAACTCAACACTGCTTTTCTTGTTGCAATTGTTCACCTAAGTCATCGCCTGAGCCGATTCGAGCGCTATAAGATGGAGGTACAGCCAGCGGAAACCATGAAACGGAAGTGAGAAATACAGAGACCACAAAGAAAGGAATGCAAGTTACAAAGGCTTTTTTCTTTTTGAATCTTTTGTTTTCTTTTTTTGCTTTTTTTCACATGCCTTTTTGTATGTTTACTGTTTGCGATGTAGATCAAGCAAATCAAGACAAATATTCGTACCCATTTTCCATTGGGCCCGGTTCTGCGCCATGTCCGAGAGAGTTTCCAGCCTGCGGTTTACTTCATCTTTGATCCCTGAACTGAAAGTCAGCGCTTTAATCGTTTATCGCCACATGATACACTGACCATCGCGTGCTTTCTTCTACCATGGTCCTGTGCGAGCGAAGAGAGCGCGTCGGGGCGGCCGTCCGCATGGCACGCATAAAACATAGCCCAGCCATCTCAGTTCGCACAGCGGTACCAGTCTGTCAACTGGAAGTCCCGTGTTACCCTGCCCTTTACCAATAGTGATAGGTCACGTTGTCGCCACAGATGCCTCAAGCTGGCGAACGCCGAACAAGCTTTCGTAATGCGGAGGAAAATTTCTCTTCCAATGCTACCATCAGCAGAGACAGCTTCTTAGGTAAACAAAATTGTCCACCTGTTCAAGCTGCATGCCTTGAAGAGTGAACATTGGGGCAGGTGGATGCCAATTCAGGACGAGGACAATTCATTTCATAGGGGCAAAGGTCATACCGTCTATTGATACTTCAATCGCCAAGCGATTTAAAACAGTCTGTGTGCTCTGTGCGTCATCACTAAGCAAGGCAATATCATCAACATAATCTAAGTCGGTCACGCGGTTGCCAGGAAGGAGCTCTACACCAGAACCCTGAAAGCCCTCGATAAAGTTTAATGGAACATCCTCGATCGCAAAAGTGGAGGAAAACGGGGACATGTGACACCCCTGTCGTACACCACTAGTGACGGGAAAAAGTGAAGACAGCTTACTGTGATCCTTCACTTTACCTGCGACATTGCAATATGATGCTCGAAGTACGGCAATATACTTTTCGGATACTTCATTCCTTTGTAAGCACCGCCATAAAGCTGGCCGATCGATGGAGTCGAAAGTGGCTCGGATGTCTAGCAAAACGACGATAGTGGGTTGGCGGTACAGATGACGCGTTTCAAGGAGTTATTGGAGCGCAAACAAGTGGCCTTTACATCCTCGGTTGTGACGGAAACCAGGCTGTTCTTCACGGGAGCGCAATTCTCGAATCGTGGTTAGTCTGCGGTGTAGAATGGGTGTTAACAGCTTGGAGTCAACGGACCTTAGACTGATTCCTTAGTGGTTAGCGCATAGGGTACGGGCACCTTTCTTAAAGATCGGGACGATTATTGACTTGCCCCAAACGGATGGAACTGTTTCTTCGCACCAGATCCTAGAGAACAGAGCTGTTAGTTGGTTGACAATTGCTTCGCAACGGAACTTGTACAGCTCCGGAGGAAATCTGTCTGGGTCAGCAGACTTAAATCGCTTCAAGTGTCGGAGCTCAAGGCAGACCTCAGCTTCAGTGGGTATTCCCAATGAGACGTTCTAAGGCGCATGATTAGGGATACTCCTTAGACTCGCCGGCGGAGGATGCCAGCTGAATTAAATGCGAAAGTGTCCAGCCCAGCAGTCCATGTGCCTGTGTAAGTTAGTGATCGGCGTACCGTCAACCTCGCAAATAACCTCACTGACACCAGATCTTTTGTGACCAGTGGCACGAATAACCTGCAAGAGCTTGCGAAAGTCACCAGAGAGGGCTGTCGTTTCCACCTCTGAGACGCGCTTGGACCACCAAGTTTCGCGATCAACTCGTAGACTTTGCTGAAGTTGGCTGAGGTTGCGACGCATTGCACTGCTATTTGAGTCGGTCGGGATTGCTCTACGGCGATCAAACTGTTTCGGTGAGTGTGCGGAAATACAGCTTCTCAGAGGGCGCCTTGTGATTCCGCAGATTGAATGACTGGAAGGTAGCATCGCTTCACACAGGAAACTCCAGTGATTTTCGATGCCTCGAGGTGGAGTACTAATGAATGCATGCAACAAGGAAACTTGATAAGCTGATCGAATAGAGAAATCAGCTAACTTGTTAGTGTCGAGCGTATGGTGCTTTCGTTTTGAGAAACCGCCGAAGCGCATGCAGATGTCCGCGCAGACCAAAGCATAATCGATCTTCAATCCCGGACGCTGCCTCACCATCTAAAGCTGATTGCAATGTGATTTATTTGTGACTACGCTTGCATTGCCAGATTGCTACACATCTTTTGGTATGCCTTAAGTCCGTACTTAAGAGAAGGAGACAGTGAAAGAGACGACGCTAAGGTGACTGCTAGCGATCGATGTTTCTGCTATTCGGGCCCCTTTTGCTCCAATTGATGGGTCCCACCAATGTGGATCTGACTCATGCGAACATTACATCATCTTTCTTTGTCGGCTTTATCCTGCTTATTGCGCTTAGATTTTGTTGCATAGGCGAATTTTTCTTTGTTTTAGGTTCTCTGTTACACCAACATTTTACCTTCCCTTTTATTTTCCCATTTATCACCGTTATGAAATAGTATATGACGCTGGTGTATTAGTGAAACGAATGATGATTGTTTTTATGCAGTATTTTATTCCTACCTGTGCCATCCATCATTCACAGCTACAAGTACCGCGTTTGCCTCATTTCTACTCACTGCGCATTGGGCTGACTACTTTATGACCTTACTTGTGCTATATTCTACTCACATGCACTTCTCGCTTTTCCCCTTCCTCTACTGATTAGCGACCGAAGAAGGGATCAAACCACCCATCGGTTCAGCAAGGTGGAGGCCTTTTGACTATATTACCACCCGTTCGATCAGCGACCATTCGGGATGGGGTAAAACCTTCTCTAATGGTTCCTCATCAACTAGCGGTGAAACGAGCTCCTCCGGGACATCTCATAAAGCCCTGCTACTCAGTCCAATGTGAACGCAGATGAGGACTGGGATCTCGTACACACAAATAACGATAATGACACAGACTCGGAAGATGGCGCTGAAGCTTCCACCTTCTTTTCTTTTGATCAGCCGCCACAAGAGGATCCACAAGCGGTTGCTGGTGTAAGAGCAGCGGCAGCAACCCGTGTTCTACGATCTCTAGTGCCTTCCCCTCCACTAAGCGAGGTACCGAGTGAACCCACCTTAACTGATACAGCTGTGGATGGATTCCAACGGTCAGTGCCGCCTCGCGTCGAAGCGCCGCTCTGTACCATTGACCCGAAGGTGTTGAGTATGATAGATGTGCCGCAGAAAGCGTCCGTGATGGCTGGTGATGATTCTGACGACGTTCCCGTTGAACCACAATACTGGACGGAGGACACATTCGTTCCAGGTCCTGAAGTGAGTTTCAGTTGTTTTCCGAAATTATACCAAGTGATGGCTTGTCCATTTTACACTTAGCGCCCCACGCTGGTAGTACATGTTGTGCCCGTTGTTTGCTACTACCTACGTTCTGTTTACTTACATTGTTGATCCACTTCGTTTGATGTGCCTGCGTGAGTAATGGTGATTCCTGTCAAGCCAAGTCAGGAACCTCTTTATTGTTGTGGCTTCCGCCGACTTCCCAATCCAAAAGACAAAGGCTTTGGCAATACTTTCTATATGCAAGATATATATATATATATATATATATATATATATATATATATATATATATATATATATATCTGATTGGCGGCATCCGGTTTCGGATTTGCCTGTCACTGTAGCCAGCCACAGGACGCCTGCACCTACAGAGGGACCATGGGTGGTTTGCGCTGCACCACCCACAGCTCCAACCACACACCCCATATCCAGTGTGAATCCGAAGGAATAAGACCGGGAGGCATGTGGATGGGAGCCACGTTTCATCAACGGATCCGGCCCACACTCCTTCACAGGCAAACACAAGCACGCTGTATTTGGGAATCAAGTGCACACAAGGCGGTGGCTGGACCGTTGTCCGCTCCACATTGAGTGCATGGAACCGCTCTTCGAGTCTAAGACAGCCACAAAGACCGTGCACCCCGTCCCCAACTGTCTCCTGGAGCCAGTATGGACGAGGTAGTGGGTAATAGACAGGTAGGCACCTTGTCAACATGCACATCAAGCGCAGCCACACCAGGGATATCAGGCAACAGCCAATCACTTGAGACAACAATATGAAATAAAATAAATCGGATACTGCATACAGATACGGTGACATAACTCTTCACGAAATAGGCGTATAAAACAAATTGGTTGCAAAATATTTGCGAAAGGTTCAATACACCAGAAAATATTTCTTAAGGAAATGCCACAACCGTGAAAATATTATCGAAGTTAACTGTAATTAGCTTAAGCGGTGTGCATGTTTATAGAAGATAGTTCAGGTGGACATTACTATGAGATGAAAAACCATTAGGATAATATAGCAAACCCACCACCTGAAAGCAAGTGCCTCAGCATGCAAGCACGCGGTTAGTAAATCGAATGCAGCCTCCCTCCAAAGGCTGAGCCGGTTCTGCCTACGTTCTCTGCAGCACCCATCGTTGCTTCAGTGGTGGCTCCCAGTGGCCTCGCTCACGGCTCACTAGGCCTGCCTGGCTCAGGCACTCGCGACCGCATGTGCTACAGCACCACACGTTTGCTGCGATGGAGTACAACACATCGGCGCCTGTCGCTTGCGCAATTGCCTCTTCTTCTCTGCATGCACTAGGGCTTTCTCTTGCACCTCAGCGACTGCCTTCGTGATCAGATCGCTCCATGCACGCCGATCAACCGCCTTTGATTCCTATGACGTGCAATCAAGCTTAGAACGTGAGAGGCTCACTTTGATCATGTCCTGGTAACGTAAGTTTGGTTTCCCCACATGCGGCTTCCCAATACTCAACTGACCATATAATAGTTGTTTCGGTATCCGCGTGTAATCTATACGGTTCACATGACTGAGCCACCTCAGGTGTCTCAGCAAAAGTATGCAGTCCACTGCATACATTCCACTTCGACGTAACACTTCCGTGTCCGCAACTCTGTCGCCCAAACCGATACGCAGAATTCTTCACAGACACTGTTGATGGAAGTGTTCGAGATATCGCACATCCTGCCTGTAGATCGTTCGCGTTTCACTGCTATATAGAAGAACGGACAGCACTATGGATTTGTACATCATCAGCTTCGTGCCAACGGTAAGCTGATGGCTGTTCCACACTCGGTACTCAAGCTTCCCGAATGCCGCCGCTGCCTTCGAAACGCGGATACGAAGCTCACAGTGTAGCTGCAGATCAGTCGACATCACACTCCCAAGGTAGCAGAAGCGGGAGATGGTTTCCAATACTTCAGCAGCAATGCTTATTTGTGTTAACAATAGTCGATTGCACCTCCGGTGAAGGCTGAAGAAGACAGACAGTTTTGCTTGTGATGATGGTGAGCCCGAATTTGGCCCCTGTCGACGCCAGAGCACTAGTCATGTGGTGTAGCTCATCCGCGCTGTGTGCAAACAACGCACAGTCGTCGGCAAACAGCAACATACGGATAGTTGTCTCACAGACTAGATTTCTCGCACCGAAACGACGGATGTTCAGCAACCCACCATCAATACGGTGCTCCACACGAACAACATAAGCACAAGCGGGGTCAAAAACACAAAACATAATTGAATGAAGATAGATATTAAACAGGGCAGGAGCTGGGCCACAGCCTTGCTTCACACCAGAGACAACTCCAAAGTCAATCGAGGTCTCTCCACTCAGCTGCACCCTCGCGCGCATGCCACTCTGCAGACGTCCAATTAAACTTAAACCTATTTGGACAACCAAAGTTTTCCAATACCAACCACAATGCCTCGCGGTTCACCGTATCAAATGCCTTGGTGACACCGACCAAAAGCGTGTACAACCGATGGTCTCGTTCTTTGCTCTTCTGCAACTGACGAGCCGCTGCGACCCGAACGGAATCCACACTGCTCTTCCGCCACATTCGGTTCTACGACGTGACTGACGAGGCGGTTGGGCAGGATTCGGGACATCACTTTACCCACACAACGCAGCAACTCGATGCCACGATAATCCTTGCAACGTTACTTGCTTTCTTTGCCCTTGTGCAGTGGTAGCACAAAGGTATCCTTCAGTTTAGGAGGCACCTACTCCTCATACCACAGATGTTACACCAAGTGGCGCAGCGCCTTCATCAGAGTTTGTCTGCCTTGTTTCAGTACTTCAGGCGGGAACCCGTCGGCACCGGCACAGTAGCCATTTCGCAGCTGAGCAAGTGCTCTCTGCGTCTCATCCAATGTCGACGTGGCTGCCAGACTCGCCTTCGTGCTGCTTCAGGTCGTTCAAAGTAAGCCAGTCGATCTCTGAATGGTTTTTAAAGAGACATTCAAAGTGTTTTTGCCGGATCTACACTCTGCGTGCAGATAGTGCATGAGCTATCATCGATTAGCTTTCCAAACAGCTGCAACCACAGTCCACACAGCGCCTTCAAGGAGTCAGAGAATTCCTTGTGTTGGCGGTGTTCAGCGTAGCATTTCATCTACATCGCCTTCTCCGTCCACCGTGCATTTTACTGCGTCGGAGCTCTCGAGTCAGTCGCCGTCGAAGTTTGCGAAACTGACTCTTTTTCCCCAAGTCACTGGGGTCTGCCATATTTGCAAAAATTGCTGCATTCTTCTCCGACATCAATGCGCCCATCGTCGCATTATTCTCATCAAACCAATCAGACCGCCTGCAGTCTGCGCGCCTGATTGTCTCCTCGATAGCAGCTGTCACCTGGTCGCGAATGTGGTGCCACAGGTCACCCACTGTGGCTATGCAGTCCACATCACACAGACGTACAGCCATCGCCTTCTCCAACTCCATACGTTTCTCCACAGTACCGAGGGAGGGAATGTTAAAAATCCGTGGGAATATTTGTAGCTCTGGATCCGAATGAGGGTATCCGGTTGTTCTCCGAGCTGGCTGATTTGGCTGCAAACGTTTCATCTTCACACTGGACGACATCATCAGTGCGATTTATGCGTGCCACTAACAGATCCATATGATTATTAATCACTTGATTCGAACGTCAGGAGTCGATTAGCCCACGTGCGTTGACCGTGTAGTCAGCTCTTGCGTACTGTTGGCTAGAGTCCGCCTCATTGACGTTCCTTTGTCCTGTTGATCTGGGGCGGGAGTGCGGTTTCCTCCACTTCTTGCATCACCGCTTCGGCCATTAGTTGTTGGATTTATACCTCAAGACACACTTCAGTTTCAACGGCCAAACATACGAACACGTAACAGGCACCGATATCTGGACTGATGGCCGAAGCGATGATGCAAGCATTAGAAGAAACCACGAAACCTAAACTCTGGCTACGCTAAATGGATGATACCTTTGTCGCCCTAAAACGCTCGAAACTGTAAGAAACACTTCAGCTATTAAACAACACGTTTGCTGGTATCAGTTTCACTAGGAAAGAGGAGAGCAAATATCAGCTACAATTCTTGGATATTTCAGTAAAGAGACATACTGCTGGACAACTGGAGACAACAGTTTATCGGAAAGCGACGCATACAGACCAAATCTTGAATTATTGCAGCAATCATCCAACAGTCTACAAGCGCAGCTGCGCAACAACTCTATTTAAAAGAGCCCAGACATATTGTGGCACGCCGCAGCTGAGGAAAGCGGAGGAAGATCATCTGCTCGAGATGTTTACACGGAATGGGTATCCCAAGAATTTCATTCTACGTTGTTTAACATCAATAAAACGACCGACGCATGAACAAACATAAGAAACGGATAAAAGGACAATCATTCTACCATACATCAGCGGCGTCTCTGAGATGCCGGCTAGACTACTTCTACCTTTCGGAATCAGAGTTGCTCACAAGCCGACAGAAACTATCGGAGACAAGCTCTTCAACGGTAAGGACCGGCTTGACAAAGAAGAAACAAGTGGTGTGATTTACAAAATCCACTGCAAAAGTTGTAATAAATACTATGTGGGCCAGATAGGAAGAAAGCTCGGCACTAGGCCAATCCATCCGCCGACATGACCAACTCCCTGATGTCGGTACATATGGACCCGAGAGTCATCAGTTTGATTTGGAGAATGTCAGGATCATAGGCAGGTCAAAAAGTTGAAAAGCACGCGAGTTCATCGGGGCTTATTACTCGGGGAAGAACTCAATCAACAGGCACTTAGATTTAGTTACTGCCTATGAAGCACTGAGAGTAAAACCAATACTCCGCCCCAGATCAACAGGACAAAGGAACGTCATTGAGGCGGACTCTAGCCAACAGCTGGCTTGCCGAACAACCTCTTCGTGGTGTTAGCTGGGTGGTTCGGGTTTTTCCCGTTCCAGCAAATGGTTCGGCAGCAGTGTTCCAGGACGTGGTGG